CATTTTCTTTGATATTTTCCTCTTCTCCTGAAAATCTTCTGGTGAATTCTTATTGATATAAGTTTATTTCTCAATTTGTTATTTCATTTTAGCTGGTGGTACAAATGCCAAGAATGATGATATTATGTCAGTCCTACTTGCTCACGAAAAGAGACCAACGAACACAACAGTTAATGCTGTTAAGGGTTTGAACAATGAATCGGAGTCCAGTTCAGATGAAATGAATGATGTTCATGACCAAATGCAAGATGTAGAAACAATGGATTCCGACGATGAAGACAATGATGATGTTCCAACTGTTACAGTAGGCAATAGGACATATCCTATAACTGAAATTAACGATACTATAATTGCAGAAATGAGTCAGTCTGAAAAAGAGATTTATGTACAGGTTTTTCAGGATTACTACTCTCATATGAATATTTAGATGTATTTTTTATATTTTTTGTAATGCAAACAAATTCAACACTGATAATTATAAGTTTAAAAACTAACAAATCTTTTTTATTTAATTTCTTCTGCATTTTTCGATGTGTGGTTGCTATAATGCAGTGAACTTCCACCTAATTTTGATATTTCATACTTGGTTAGTGAATATCATAACATACCAAGTTGTATCTGTTTCATGTATTCGGGTTTACTATACTGTGGTCTAGAATTTTTGCTTCACGATGTTTTGTTTAAAACTGCGGTATAAATTATCAAAGCCTATAGAAGAGCCGATGTACTTGTAGCCTTCTATCGCTTGTAGTCTAGATTAACTTTCTCGAGTATCTGCACCATGTGTACCCTTGATGGGCCTTCGAGAATCTGTCGGTTTATCCGAATCGTTATTGAAATTTTCGGTGCGTCTGAGGACAGACTTTTCGTACAGTTCGTAGTTTTAAGAGTCACAATCTATGTAGATCAACAACCTCTTCTTTACAATTAAAGTTAATCGAACGTTTTTCAATTTCTAGGGTATCTATGAACATTCTCGGATAATAGTGTGATATTCTACCTGTATTTCTTCAAATAAATCTTTGATGGTATTTTCTACAACCTGTTCTTATTTTTCACAGTGACCAAGGCAATATTCTACGAGATCCCACTGCAATATCACTACGTTTTAAATTCAAAAAATAAAAATTTAGTTCATATATTTTTTAAATAAAATACGCTGCTCATGACGTATATGCATGTTTTTATATAAAATTAAAGCTATTTTTTTGTTAATATCATGATATAAGGTTGTCTGAGAATAAATGACCGCAAATTAAGGTTGCCAGCTGTTAAAAACGCGAGGAGCCAAAGATAAAGTAAAAGAGAGCTCGCGCTCAACGCCACTGATTTGACATGGCTAGTGTCAGTTGTGTGAGTTTTTTAAGCATGCGTCGATAGATACTGTTAATAATATACATATTATCACTTGTCAAACCAGTGTCGTTGTGCGCTAACTCTATTTTACTTTATCTTTGATACCTCGCGTTTTTAACAGCTCGCAACTCTAATTTGCGATTATTTTTTTCAGACAACCTTATATCATCATAATAAAAAAGCTAGCTTTAATTTGATATAAAAAAAACATGCATATAGGTACGTCATGTGCAGCGTATTTTATTTAAAAAATAATTGCATTAAAACTATTTGCAGCCACTTTATAGTAAACAACAAATATCGAGCACAGTTCTTTTAATAAAGCTTGCCCAAGTACTTTCGCTCTCGGAGCATATTCAGGAACATTTCGTCAAAAATTGGCTATCCAGCAAACACGCTTATAGATAATAACGAACACTAGATAAAAGCTTGCAGTTTAAAATAATTGTTTATGATGCTACATTATGGGAAGTGTCAGATTTTTAGCACATTTGCCCATTATTGGCAGGTAAAATTAAAATGTGAGATTGTTTTTAGGTAGTTTAGCACGTCGTAATATTTGTGAAGTTTCCATACGGATTTAGTCTGCGATATGATATCGTGATGTAATTAAAAAATTCCCGACTTCGCATTAACAATTATGTCCTCAACCGATATTGTGCTTGGGTCAACAACCACATTTCCATCTTAGTATACAACACTTCTTGTTGAAAATTTCCGTTTTGAGAGATTGGTCTTGACAAAATGTCTTTATTGTTTTCCAATTTCTTATTATTTTTTATGTCTGTGATAAAGATGCCATCGATTTTATTCCAATGATTTCAATGTGAAGAGGCATTTAATTATATGTTAAGTGCCATAAATTTACTGAACTGAGCTCACAAAAAGTTAAAAGCTTTTTTGTTTTTAAAAATTTTGGAGTTAAATTCGTTTATCTACAGCGTTAAAACTACAAGATATCACAATAAATTTGCTTTCTTCTTGCGAAGTTCCTCTAGGGGATAAACTCATCCAGAAATTTCTCGTAAAAGCTTCCTATCAAGGAGTGTAGGCTTTTGCAACTGTGTTGTACTGGTACATTGTATTCGGTGTTTATAGGCAGTGGAATTATTTCTTCCTAATGTTTCATTTGCATTGCATTTATGTACTATAGTCATAAGCGATGCCTTCTCCACAATTCTCTTTTTTCCATTTTCAGTTCTTTTTTATAATCAATCCGAGCTTCGCAATATACGCTCCACTCACCAGATCTTTTGGCAAAATTAAATTTTCGTTTGACTTCTATCCTTTGTCGTTCCACTAGGACACTTTCCTGTCGGAGTTCATCACTATCTCTAGTAATCAGATAGTAATCAGGTTTAGTGAATCATCTTGTCTGCTACCGATGTGTGGGTTTTATAAACTCACCGTCTACTCACACCTTAATTATGATTTCTCTATAAACGTTTTTAATTGATCTAAATACATTTTGCGAGATTTTTCTATTGCACAGTAAGTCGGTAGCATCTTCCAGCTTACTTTTATCAAAGGCTTTTCGTAAGTCTACGAAACACAGGAAGGCTTGTTATATTCGATACATTTTTCTGATATTTGTCGCTTAATAAATACAACATCTATACATAATATTCCAGATCTATACCTTTGTTGTTCTTCTGCTAATCTGAAATTTTTTATTTTGTTAGTTATCACTTCGGTAGTCAATTTTTTAGAGTTATGTTTACAAGATTTATGCAGTAAAACATCTGCATAGATGGCTTGATCAGACACTATGAAGCTCCTCACTCCCTAAAATCATCCGTCTATCCTCTAAATATTGCTGCAGATGCTGTCAAAATGGACAAGAGATCTCTGAGTGGCAGAAAAGGCAGACACAAGGCAAAGTCCAGAATGCGCTCAACTTAAAAATCCGAAATTGCCCTAATTGCCAGGGTACTCACCCAGCATGCTTACTCAGGTGCCCCAAAAGGCAGGTGATTTCAGCCATCCACTTGGAGGCCAAACCTCTTGCTGAGAGGAGGATTCCTCCCGCAGCATTGACAGCAGATGTAAAATTGCTAATGCAATTCACAATCACTCCCTGCTGAACATTCTCCCTGACAGAAGGGAGATGATCAGCAGGTAAACATCTGATCTAATCAACACCATGTTAGGGTACTCAGTAGTGCTCACATCTAGAAATAATAAGGTCGAAATGACCTTCGTCCCCAACTATTAAATTGTCACATTTGACGGTATAATACGGTCAACTGCACGGGTGTCGGTAAACAACTGCCTTAATTAACATCTCAAAGATTTATGCAGTGAAAGACACTCCCAATTTTTCCGGATATACCTCCTATCATACTCTAAAAATCCAGGTCACTCATGGAAATAGCTTATTAATCCATATAAACATTCCCACCTTCCCACACATTCAGGTCCATGACGTCGATTACCTGACAGCTGACAATCGTCTAGCTAATAACAACAATATTACGATAATCTACTATAAACCTCCAAACAAACTCCTTTCTGTGCCGCTTATCGAGTACTTTTTCTCACTCGATAAGGGGGTTTTCATGGGTGACCTCAATAGCAGAAACACTCAATAACTCCACATACATACCAGAGAGTATTCTGCCTAAAGGAGATCTGAATATCTATAATAATGTTTGATATTTTCTTAATAATGTTTATGGGTATTTATTTTAAACATACTAGATACTCATGGTTTCATTTATTAACTATCTAAGTACAATATTAGATAGTACTCAGTTGACGTTGACAATATTAACTTCGACCGTTCGCTTGATTCTTTATTCTTAACAATAATGATAATAATAATTCTAATCTCGCGATGTCCAGCTATTACTCACATTCGATTGTTATTATAATATGTTTCTATATTTGTTTACTTGATACACGTTATTTAATATTACATTGCAAATTTCACTAGGTCAGCGTGCGTCCTCGTTACAACGATATTTTCAAATGTCATAAAAAAACAATCTATTTTCCCAAATGTGTGTCACGTTAAAAAAGATTACTTAGATCTGATGCTTAATTAAATCTCGTTACATCTCCTAGAGCTGCCCATTTCCAGAATCACCAACAATGATGTTTGGCACACGTTCTTTAATCGCAATATGTCCATAGTTGATCATGTCCTCTATACTGATATAATACTGGATAGATTCGACGATGAATGCTTCATTGGCGATTCAATAACCTCTGACTATTTGCTCCTACTAGTCAAAACTGACAAACTCACCTCCGCAAAATAATACTGCTATCTACAGATAAGATTATCGTAAAGCTAATTGGGAAGTAATCCAAGATCACATCAATCAAAACCTCCCAGAGTTAGTAATAAGTCGACAATTAACCAAGTTGACACAGGTATTTCTAAAATTGAAAGTCTTTTCGAAGAAGCTTCATCCCTCTCGATTCCAACAACTCGATACAATCTACATACTCCAATGCTTCTCCAAGGAATTATAGCAAAAATTAAAACAAAACGCATACTAATCAGACAGTATAACAGATTCTGAGACTCCCTCATCAAAACAGAATACAGCCGCCTCTCGGCGTCAATAGGGCTGGAAGTCAAGATGTTGCAAGAAGAGTGGATGCAAGTTACGGCCAGCCTTGACTACCGAAACCGTTCAAAATTCTGAAACAAATTTAAAATTCTAACCTAATCTTCTCTCAAAGTCAATGATGTCGTTATCAATAATCCAAAAGATAAGGCCGAGATTTTCAAAAACTCACTTCAGGCCGCACTTATCTCCCCAAATAATCCCAATTTTAGCGAGTGATCTAAATGGGATGCCGAAAGGAGGGTGGAAGACACACTGTACTACCCTCCAATGCACATGAGACCCAATCCTCATCCGATGGTGTAACTTAGGTAAAAACATCTAGCTCTATTCAGCACCCTAGGTTAAGTCTACGAGAGGACCATTAAAGCTATGGTTTTTTAGAACAGTGAGCGACACATAACTCACAGTCAGTCGAAATGGTCCTCTATGATAACGGTTTGTTAGGTTCTGCTGAGCTGAGCGCACTGCAGAGCGATAGCCATGTACGTCGACGGTGTGCGCTGGAATCAACTGCGATTTGATTTGGACGCAAACGTTTAGCTGAACTCATAGCGTACACATCTATACCGAAATATAATTGTATTTTTATATAATTATTATTGTAATAATTATAATTAGGTGTATAATTAATAGTAATAATTAGGTGATGTCTTCTTTTGTAGGATTTTTTAGTAGTATCATCCCTTATAATTTGTAAGAGTTTCAAATAAATCCCTTTAAAGTCTAAAATATTCTCAAAATTTTTCCTCGTTTTAAAACGAAGAACCTTTATCTTCTTTCGACAAACACCTTCTGTATTACGACATGAAATAATTTCGTTTACATTTTTATTTCTTTTATTTAAATTTGACATTATCAACTTTTGTTCTTCCTTCTCTTCTTGGAGAATTAATATATTGCGTTAAGTTTGCGAGAAGTCATTTTTCTAAACGTACAACCTTTAAGACAACAAACTTGGAACTAATTGTGAAACTTCAGCCCAACAGAATCTATGTATGCCATACGACTCTAACAAACCGACTTACCCAAAACTACCGTGAGTCGAATACAACAGATTCTGTTGTACGCTGCGCACTGTTCTAACAAACCGTAGCTTAAGGAGAAACTCGTAGAATTTCTAGATGCACACTTCATTATCCCAAACTTCCAATTGGGATTCAGAGCTGAACACTTCTCACAAAATGCATTGATTGAAGCAGCAAAACCTTCATATCACAATCCATCAACGAAACAAATAGGTACGCAATAGGCATCTTCCTCGATTTTCAGAAGACCTTTGATCAGGTTTGATACACAGGCCTGATCAAAAAGCTCTACCTCGTTGGACTGCATACTCCCTTCGTAAAATAATACATTACTATCTCTCTAATTGGACAAACCGTGTCAAGGTCGCTAACACGTTGTCCACAATATTCACACTCCACAAGCTGGAGTCCCGCAGGGCTCAATTCTAGCATCAATATTATACACAGTCTATAACAGTGACATATCCCACGTCTTAACCAGATCAAAGTCAAATTTGCCAACGATACTGCACTCTTCTCTGCAGGAACATACAATGGGATGCTGAGACATGCGTCTGTATTCGAAACAGCACAAAACCAATTGAAGAGAATTGTCAGATGGTGCAACAAATGGAGAGTCACACTCAATCCTTCCAAAATGCAAATAATTTTATTCAAATCCTCTCGCAGCCGCGATGCTGGAGATAACCCTCCTAGCAGAAAATCGTACTTGGGAGTTCATTTTAGCAGGACTCTCAACTGGGACATTTACATTAAAAACACCTTAGACAGGGTAAGAAAAAGAGCTAAACTCGTAGGCACGCTAACTAGAAAATACCTCAAATCTCTGGCACACCTACAGAAAACATTATCGTCTTGCACGCCTACAAGACTTTCATCGGGCCAACCATCGAATACAAAGCGTGTGCGTACGTGTCGCTAAACAATCGCCAAACCAACGTCATTATGGAAACAGAAATGAAATTCCTCAGAAAATGCACGAGGAAAAGTGCAGATTATCCGTCAGCAATAGTTCACCAAATTGCGGATCTACCATCAATAAAGGACAGAGGCCGCTCCCTTAGCAAAAGATACGTCCTCCTCACAATAGCTACCTGCGACAACAGAGCTAAGCAATCTCTAAAGACTCCTTGCCACCACCGAGGGCATTCCTTCCAGCCAAGCTTCTACACTTGCTACGCTGGTAACGAACTTCCTGATGAGTATTACGACGTCTTTGACACAATCCCCCTCAAATATCGCAGATAAAATAACTGCACGCAAAGAACGCTGATTCAGAGCCATTCCTAGTATGGCTGGCGACACTGGAAGTCACTTCCGCTTATGGCTTGGATGGCTAGTCTAAATTCTCCCTCATTACGCTCATTTTTTACTCTGCCACTAACAAAGTCCCCGCTCTATAGCAGCATACCACCCAAAAAACTACTCACTCGCAACTCACGTTGCTCCCTCAAAAACTCACGAAAAAAAGGGAACAACCACTCCTTGAAGAAGCATAAGCAAGGTTATAACGTTCAGATCTATCTATCCAAACATCTTATAACATAATTATTTGATCTTCTGATGAGAGGTTTTCAAAAGTTTCCTGAAGTTGTTCATAGAAAGTATCACATTCTGTTTTTAGTTTGCCATTTCAATATCTATATATCTTGAGATACAAGATATTAGGATCCGTAAAAACAACCGAGGCCGGTATAGAAATCCAACAACGGAGTTTAGAGGATATACATAGGCCATGCATTTGTAACTATGAAAAGAACAAAATCAAAAGAAGAGGAGTGCTTTATCTTACAATAAGAACACAAAGTTTGACAACAGATATCTGGAACAGTAAAATACAGCAATATTCAAGCGATTTTCCAAACTTCACACACAATCAGTAAGGTTTTATCAATCAACGATTTTGTCTGACTGAAGCAAGCTAATTGGTTAGGTACACCCAAACTCACATGACTTGTAAAGACGCAGTGTAAAGTACATATAAAAAAAAATATAATTTTAATGCCAATCTAAATCAACAACAAATTATTATTTTGCTGTTTTCACTTATATTGTACGTGTTTGCGGATTGGCTACAATATTTCACAGATTTAATCGTGTTTGGAATCTTCTTAGATTTACTAATATGGGCTTATTCAATGAACATGAAAATTTACATGAGTGGGAGAACAAAAAAAAAATATTTATGGTTAAAACAATAAAACTGTATATATATTTATATTTTTATTAAGATACTTTACAAACAAATAAATAGGCTACACTACAACCATTGGTACTAAAACTGTATCAGTAATACCACAAGCATTTTGATTTCTAATTAATCTAAAAAATCCGCCCTCTCCCCATGAACTGTCAACCCAGTTTTTAAGAATCCAATAGTCGGTATTATTTTCTCTGCCATATCCTATTAAGTTTACGGTCCAAGGGTCGGGATTACTTTTATTACAATCGTCAGACAACCATATTCCTCCTGTGTAACTATGAAGATTTGCACCGTTTATCATTACATTGAGAATACCTCTTGTAACTAAAATATACAAGCATAATAAACAATATAAGAACAGTAAAATATGAAGAAAATAGAAAGATAACTAATAGAAAAAGTAACAATGATAGGAGGTAAGTAGATTACACAGTTTCATAAGGGACATAATTACATATATTATGTTTATATGAGATTAAGCCACAATTTATTGTAATGAAAATTACATTTATAACTATTTGACGATTTGCTTTCCACTCCGTAAATCATTAAAAATTATTTTGAATTAGGGACTTATTGTTATAACCTGTAGTGGTTTTGGAGCTTTTGTTTGCCAAATTTGATGGGTAATTTACTTGGCCCGATCTTTTAGGCAAATAGACATTCTTTTAGTTAAACATTCCGAGGGTGGTGTTTGTACCCTCGGAATAATATCAAATTCTGATTATTTTGTGTGTTTATGTATTATATGCCTATGTTTTGTATGTTTGTGTATTTTGAATAATTGTAAATAGTATGTCTCTGATTTTGTTTTAATCCATTAATGTTGGTATATTCTTGTTGCTGACGTCTTCTTTTAGTAAGAAGTAGTTTGACGACTTAATGGTCTCGATGGCTTTTAATAATAATAGTTTTGAAGGATACATTTCCAATGTTGTATTGAAATGAGTCGCCTCAATGTTTTGTAGGAGTCCTATTAGATCGTGTATACTAGACTTTGTACGTCCACCAGTCTTCCGTCTTTAAGTTTTGATCTTGTGTTTCCTTCTTCTTCTTAGAGTGCCGTCTCCCTACGGAGGTTGGCAATCATAATGGCTATTCTTATTTTAGAACTTGCTGCTCTAAACAAATCAATCGATCTGCATTGGTACCAATCACGTAGATTCTTTAACCATGAGTTCTGCCTTCGGCCAACAGATCTTCTTCCTTGAATCTTTCCCTGTATTATCAGTCTCAAAATTTCATATTTTGGTCCCCTCATCACGTGGCCTAGGTATTCCAGTTTTCTGGTTTGTATAGTGGTGATTAGTTCTGTTTCTTTACCAACCCTCTCCAGTACTTCTTTATTTGTAATTCTATCAGTCCATGATATTTTCAATACTCTGCGGTATAACCAGAGTTCGAAGGCCTCGATTCTTTTTAAATTACATTTTTTTTAATGTCCAAGTCTCAGCTCCATATAATAATATTGAAAATATATAACAGCGAATGGTACGTAGTCTGATCTCCAAATTTAGATTTTTGCACGTTAGGTGTGTTTCCTTATAAATTGATAATTTCTTCATCCTAATGCGCAAATTGAGCACAGCCCACGCCGCACATCCCAAGCGCAGCACACGCGTGGGTTATTTTGTAAAAAGTGGTTTTAGACGGAGCGACGCATATTAAACCCAAACCACGGCCAGGCTAATGCCAGACTTGGTTGGCGTGGATAGAGTTGTGCTAGCAACACTGTTTCGAGGATCGTGGGTCTCTACCTAACCTTAGTTATAATTTCATTTTCTGTACTGAACGAAGAGTTCCCAAACGTAAAAAAATAAAATCAGTAGAATTCTTTTTTAAATCGGTAGATTGTGGAGTAAAATCGGTAGATCTTTTAAAATATTATATTTTGTTTAAATTTCATAATGTTTTGCAATTCGTTTATTTAAGAAAAAATAAAATATGTTTTAAAAACGTGTAAAAAAAACTGACTGAAATTTAAATCTTTAAATGAGTCTGTGACTAAGAATTGAATACTTATCCGAGAACTGAAACCTCGAGTATAAAACCCTTTTACAAGGAAATATTATACAATAAACAGACTACCGAGTTTTTACGTGAGGTGCACTCGGAAGCTTATATTAATTATGCGTTGTTCCGGTTTTTAGTTTCCTATCTTGACAAATTCCCAGAACCAAGCGGTCCGGATCACAATGGATTTGGATTCATTTATTATTGTTTTATTAGCTTTTATGAGATCATGTACTTTGTAGAGTACCGCTTAGGTATCATGTAAAAACAAATACTGCGAACACTGCGAAGAATACAAATATTTGACATGGGCGTGGCCTGTGTTCAATATGCGTTATTATTGAAAAACGTGTACTTGGACTAGGTTGGACCATACGTGGGCTGCGCGTGGGATGTGCATGGGCTGTGGTCAATTTGCGGCGGGCCTTAATCGACTACATTTACGTGCCCCTTTTCACACACCCTCCACAGTCCTCAACACATCCATTTTTGACATACTCGTTAGCACTGTTTACGCACAAAGTCCTTGCACTAAAAGTTGTTTTACGGAACTGCAGAAGTTGATTTTGATTTCCGATATGATCCTCTCCACTTCTCGCTGCAGTTTTGGTGATGAAATGAGTTACTCATTTCTGAGTAATCTATTTATGCTTTAATTTTGCTTATCATTTGTTCCACAAGTTCTGACAAAATACTCTCAAGCCCGACAGTGCATCTCTACCGTGCTAATGTGCAATAGTTATAGAACAAATCTGACCGTAAGATTAGCTTGCTGTGGTTCAAGTATCTGTGATGTAACCACTGACCATGGTGTAGAAAAAAGTTTGTGTGTTCTATTTGTTTGTCTAAGTATGTTTATATGGGTTATGTATTTTCAATAAAACTAGTAATGACATAGCTGCAGCTCTGCTATATTCTCAGTTGATCGACGGGTGTTTATTTAGTTATAAATTATTCACACCTGTCCTATATGTCTATAGGACGTCCCTTATTGAACCTTTTAACACAGTACTATCAGTTTTAAAACAGAGTACTCAAGAAAGTGTAAGCCAAATGATTTATGAATCATACATATGAAAACAGTTACAAGCAAGAACTCATTAAACATTACATTACACAAATAATTACCTAAAAGCCTTTTAAGTTCTTCCTCGCTAATTTTGTTCCATCTTTCGAACTTTATTGGTAAATTCGCCCCTCCGAAACAAGGTCTTTGCATTCCATCGAAATATGAGTATTGCGAATTAACCCCTCCATTTCGTTCTAAACATGCGTATGCTGTTTCTATAGATGGACCGTTGTTGCAACCATCAGAGAATGAACAACAATCTAATATATATTGAGGACTGAAAGATTTTAAAGTTCCATTTGTTAAAAAAAGTTGAGTTTCTACTGCGTTTGCCTGAAAAATAAATCAGTTATGGGTACGATAGGGAAACGATTAAATGGACTTTTATAATTGTAAAAGATTAAATTAAATACCAGTTATAACATCTCTTTGAATACATATTTTGTCTGTTTCTTTGCCATCTACCAGAATAGAAGCTTGTTGATTCCAATATTGATGTTGTAAAAGTCTCAGATCTTTATCATCCATTCCAATCATTTCTAGATATTTAAACAGCCTACGATGTTGAACCCTATCAAACACCTTCTCAAAATCTATAAAACAGACGTAAATTGGTTTCTGTACTTCCCATGATCGTTGAAGTAGTGTTAGCATTGAGAACAAAGCTTCCCTTGTTCCCAATCCTTCTCTGAAACCGAATTGTTTATTTCCCATTGCTGCTTGATTCTATTAAGAATTATCCTAAGAAGTAGCTTGAGAGAGTGACTCATGAGACTAATTATCTAAAGTCTTTACATGATAATGTATTAGGATTTTTTGAAAGTGGGATAAATGTAGAATCCAACCATATTTGTGGCAGTGTTCCAGTTTCGTATATGTGGTTATAAATGTTTGTTAGTTCTGAGACATTGTCGTTGTCTCGTTGTCAAGTTTGAGCCAGTCTGATGGTATTTGGTCATGGCCTGGAGATTTTCCATTTTTGCTTTATTTGATGGCTTTCTTTACTTCTGCTTTTAAAATACTAGGACCAGTATTCTTCTACCTATACTTTGTGTTAAGTGGTGGCCTCGTATCCAGTAAGAGTTGTTTTATGTAGTTGGTCCATTCTTCCCATACAGTGAGGAGTTCTTTTTCTCTGAGTGTAGGTAATTTCTTTTAAGTTTAAGTTTTTTTGTGTATATTCAACTCGTCATGTTTTCTTTGTAATTCTTTCATCTCACGACATCTATGTTCTATTCAGTCCTCTTTTGCTCGCTTAACCTCGTATCTTATCTTATCTTAGTACACAGTGATATGCTACCATAAAAACAAAATAGAAAAAGATAAACAGTTGTGAAGCAAGAGAATGTTTATTAGCCCATTCTCTACATCATCGGCTCTACAACCCAGATTCGGCCTTGGCCTGTTTAATTAATCCTCTCCACTCATTCCTATTTCTGGCTTTCATTTTTTAGTTTGTAGTATTGAGTTCTCTGAAATTCTTCTGTACTTTGTCCATATATCGCATTATTGGCCGCCCCTTGGGTCGCTTTTCCAACATTTGTGGTGAGTTACTATTCTTGCTGGTTCAAAAGGTTTCATGCGCTCCACATGAGCTATCCATCTCAGTCTGCTAATCTTTATTAACTTTACCATACCAAAGGTCTTCGTAGGCTTATTATGCCATAACTGAGGTAATGTTAAAGTATTTTTGCTAAATTTTGTTATTTAAATTCACCTTTCAGCTTTATCCAGTTATCAAGGTATTCCATGTAATTTTAGGAATATTTTTTTAATACCTAATTTGTCTACATTTACATTTTTGTTTTTTTGCTATTTGCCTTATTTTATTTATGTCTACTTTACTAATGTGCTGACATTTTAATGTTTATTATTCTCTCATAATCTTCCTTTCTTCTGGTAACTCATAAGAAGTTAAATCTGACAGGAATGTAGAGCGACAATATAAGGAAAGTGTGATTGCTTTTCTTTCTTTTTGACTATGTATGCATTTTGGTTTTTTAGAGACGTTTAGCTTATCTGTAATTTTTTTTTGGAATCTTTCTTAAACCAATCTTCTCATAGGTCATGTCTCGAGTTTTCCTCGTCCCTCGACAAAGAAATAGGTGGCACTCTTCTTTGTTCCCCTTTCTTTTAGTACCAAATTCTGTCATTTTCATTGGTATGTTTCAATTTCCAATTTATTTTGTAAATATATCCCCATCCCAGATCTATAGACCCACGTCCCAAAGCTCACCGTTGTGTTCTTCAAAACACCTGACACCGGTTTGCAAGGTGAACATACTTGCACCTTGATTATTTATTTCTCTTTCAATTTCCCACTTAACATCCAGAAAAGTATTGTTTTAATCTTATGACCTGTTTAAAGAAGATGCTAAGCGATAGTAGACATTTAATAGTAATTGAAGACTAAAATTGAATTTTTGTTTTAGAATTAATCAACTTGATGATGTTTGTTGGGAATGTTGTTTTTATCATTGTTTTTCGTAGATTGTAATATGTGCCATATGTAAAGGTGGCTGAAGTCCTAAAAGGTAATGGTAATTGTCCTGTGGTCTGTGAACTGTGTTTGTCATTTGTCATCTTAGTTTTAGTTAATGTCATATGTAATTGTCATGTTATTCATTCAAACAAAACAATGCTAATTTCTTGTATATTAAAACCTAGTTTATAAAGGTTTTGCATTTCATTACAATTTAATATACAAGAAATATCAAATATGGATAAGCTACTACGACCAGACAGATTCGATGCTGATCCTAACTCTCCTAGATCGTCTCAAGAATGGATGCATTGGAAAGCTACCTTTGAAAACTTTATTTCCTCTGTGATTGATGTTTCAGAGGAGGAGAAATTCAAACTACTGGTAAATTACGTGAGCAACAATATCTATGAACTCATCTCTGATTGTAGAAAGTATTCTGAAGCCAAAAGTATTCTTGAAGCAGCTTTTGTTAAACCCAAAAATGAAATTTTTGCCAGACATATCCTAATGACAAAAAAACAACAAACTGGTGAAAATATAGGTCAATACGTTCAACATCTTAAAGTGCTTTCCAAAGACTGTAATTTTCTAGCCGTTTCTGCAGACCAAAATAGAGAAGATTATATAAGAGACTCTTTTATTAATGGCATTCTTTCTAATGACATAAGACAACGTTTACTAGAAAACAACACTATTACTCTGCAAGATGCCATAGTAAAAGCCCAGTCTCTGGAGTCAGCTTCAAAACACTCTGAGGCTTATACAACTCCTGTACAAATTATTAATGCAATTTCTTCTGAAACCAGAGAGCACACTAATTATACTTCTGCTGCTGTGAAAAGTTGGAAATGTTACTTTTGTGGATCAACTGAAAGGCATCCTCGTAGCCTATGCCCTGCTAGAGACAAAGTTTGTAAGAAATGCTCGAAAGTTGGACATTTTTCCAAGGTATGTAGGCTTCAGATGCCCAATTCAGTATCAGCTGCTGTTTTAGCTACTACTACATCTAGTTCGAATGTTAGAAATCTTGCTGCTGCCCCTCAATGCTTATCTAAAAGTGTTACTGAGATAAAGGTGAATGGAAATACAGCTGAAAGTTTAATAGACACAGGTAGTTCTGAGTCATATATCAGTAAGAATTATGCATTGTCTATAAACGTGAAAACATTTAGAAGTCATGCAAGCATAATAATGGCTTCAACAGCACTCAGAACGACTATCTCAGGACACTGCTTTGTTAATTTAGAAATAAACGAACATTCATATAAAAATGTCAAATTATCAATAATTCAAGATTTATGTGCTGATGTAGTTATAGGTCATGACTTGCTTAAACAACATTCTTCTCTAGAAATCACTTTTGCTGGCTCAAAAATGCCTTTAGTTATTGATCATATAGATAACATTTGTAGTTTGGCATACTTAAATATAGAGCCACCCAAATTATTCTCCAATCTATCAAATGATTGCAAACCGAGGGCAACTAAATCAAGAAAATTTTCAACTGAAGATAGAAAATTCATATCTGACGAGATACAGTATCTGCTATCGAATGGAATCATAGAAGAAAGCAACTCTCCTTGGCGTGCACAAGTACTTATTACAAAAAGTGAAACACACAAAAAGCGAATGGTGGTAGATTATTCACAAACAATTAATAAATTTACTTACTTAGATGCCTATCCTCTCCCAGATGTTGAAGATATTGTTAGAAAAGTAGCAAGATATTCTGTCTTCAGTACTATTGATCTTAAAAATGCATACCATCAAATTCCAATTAAAAATGAAGAGAAAATATACACTGCTTTTGAAGCCAACGGCCAACTATACCAATTTTGCCGGATTCCTTTTGGGGTAACCAACGGAGTGGCTTGTTTTCAAAGGGTTATCGATGGTATTATTAAATCCGAACATTTAAAAGGTGTGTATGCATATCTTGATGACATTACGGTTTGTGGATTAAATCAACAACAACATAATGAAAATCTTAATAAATTTATGGAAGTAGCGAAGAAATACAATCTAACAATAAATCAAAATAAAAGTTCTTATACACTAAATTCAATCAAACTTTTGGGTTATCAAATAGAAAATCAGACCTTAAAACCTGATCCTGAAAGACTTGAACCATTAAAGAAGTTACCCTTACCAAACGATTCACAATCACTAAAGAGAGCTGTCGGAATGTTTGCACATTATTCCAAATTTATCCCACAATTTTCAGAAAAGATACAAAAACTAGTCACATGCAATACTTTTCCTTTAACAGAACAAGCAGCTGAAGCTTTCCAAATTCTTAAATCTGAAATTATTTCTTCAGCTGTTACTACAATTGATGACAAGATTCCTTTTATCGTTGAATCTGATGCTTCAGATTTTTGTATTGCTGCTTCTCTTAGCCAAGGAGGAAGACCTGTTGCTTTCTTTTCAAGAACCTTATCAAAAAGTGAAAGAAATCATTCATCAGTGGAAAAAGAGGCTTATGCAATAGTGGAAGCTCTTAGAAAATGGAGACATTTCTTGATAGGTAAACATTTTCGACTTATAACTGATCAAAAGTCTGTCTCTTTTATGTTCAATATGCGCCACACTAGTAAGATAAAAAATGAGAAGATTATCAGATGGCGCCTTGAATTATCATGCTACAGTTTCGATATTCAGTACCGACCAGGAGTTGAGAATGTAGTGCCAGATACTTTCTCACGAGTGAGCTGTTCAATAAATCCTCGACCAAGTCTATTTGAACTACATCAATCCTTGTGTCATCCAGGAATCACCAGAATGGTCCATTGGATAAAGACACGCAACTTACCATATACTATTGATGAAGTCCGTGAAATGACCAATC